TGTATAATCTGATATGTGTTACATCTGCTGCTACTCCTAAATGTATGCATTTCTTAAAGTACCCAAAAACATTTTTCCCATTATTCAGGTCTCATGACAAAGACTTAAAAAAAAATAAATCTCTCTAGATCTTTCACACTGTGACTAGGGGCAGCAAGTACATTCCCTATAAATTCTCCCCCTTCTCTGTTTTAAAGCTTCTAGCACAGAAATAAGACCTCCTAAAAGGAAAGTATAGGACAGCTAGCCCATCACATTGACTAAACATCAATATCACCCTTAGGGAAATTAATCAAAGAAAACATACAGCACCAGTTAGAGAAAATTAATTAAACCAAATGGCAGCTTTCCATTATAACCAGCCTACAACTGGAGTGCCGCCTGCCAGCCGCAGTTCGTCTGAAGGAAGTGCCTAGCCAAGCAAATGCTGACTTCAGGAGGGTCCCGAATCACTGCAATCACAGTGTTGGATGTGCTTCTACTATCTGAATACTCATAAATCCCCAGATTTGTACATTATACTCACAGGACAGAGTGTTCAGTCCATCACTCATGAGCAGTCGATAACGGGGTGGGCTATTCCCTGTCGTAATGGGACGGATGTTCTAGGAGAGAAAACTTGATTCATTACCCAGGTTATCTGCCCCACCCCAGGAATAAGAAAACCTACGAGGTGGCAGGAGAGTGGGTTTGCCCATAGTTCAACATAAACTGAACTGCTTGCCCATTCTCTTGACATCTAAATCCAAGAAAAGACAACTGGACTTGATGCTCCTCCCACCGTCTCCTCTCCGCTAACATTAGAACAGAGTAAAATGATGTGCCAATACTCCGTGTTCTCTCTCCCCTAACTCAAATGTGGCAGAAAATCAATTACCAAAAGAAACACATAACAAGGCACCTAATATACAAGGTACTGTGGAGGAAACATGCTAAAAATAGAAAACTGGCAGAAAAAAATAAATCCTTGCCCTGAAGGGGCTTATAATGCAGGCAGAGTTGAAGGCAGCAAGAGACATAAGCAAGCACGCACATGGTGATGTGGGGCAGAGCCGAGACATTCACCGCAGCCGGAAGAGAGGACAGGCAGCTTTCTGAAGGGAGCAAGACATCTAACAGAGCCACAAAGGACTGGCAACTCGTACGGAGCATGTACTGAGTCGGTACACTGACTCAGGAGCTCCAGGTATGATCCAGTTCCTAATCATCCATGAAACGCCCAGTGAGTCTGAGAGCCCCACACATGAATGAATTTTCAACAGACTAGCTCATTTTGGACATACCTCTTGGAGATCATTTGCAAGGCCTATTTGAGCAGGACAAACTCTAAGGGACAAGGAGCCAAGCAAGGCAGCAGTTGTAATGATGTATAACAGTACCATCATCTATCAATTGTGGAAAAGAACAGAGAGGCAGAGTCTTAAGTCTCAACCTCTCAGGGCCAGCACTGTGGAACAGAAAGTTAAACCACCACCTGTGACACCGGCATCCCATATGAGCAGCAGTTCAAGTCCTAGCTGCTCCACTTCCAAGCCAGCTCCCTGCTAATATGCCTGGGAAGTCAGTGGAGGATGGCCCAAGTGTTGGGTCCCTGCCACCCACATGGGAGATTCAGATGGAATCAGGTTCCTGGCTTTGGCCTGGCCTAGCCCTGTCTGTCGTGGCCATCTGGGGAATGAGCCAGCAGATGAAAGATCTCTCCCACTCTGTATCTCTCTAACTCTGCGCTTAAGGAAAAAAAAAAAAAAATCCCTCAGCATATTCAGAATACAGTATTCACAACTTAACTACTTTGGCAAAGTAGTTAAGCTTCCACTTGCAGCGCTGGACATCCTATAGGGGCGCCAGTTTAAGTTCCAGCTGCTCCACTTCCAATCCAGCTCCCTGCTGATGGTCTGAGAAAGCAATGGAAAATGGCTCAAGTCCTTGGATCTCAGCACCTATGTGGGAGACCCAGAAAAAGCTCCTGGCTCCTGGCTTCAGATCAGCCCAACTCCAGCCACTATGGCCATTTGGGGAGTGCACAAGCAGTTGGAAGATATCTCTCTGTCTCTCCCTCTCTGTGTCTGTAACTCTGCCTCTCAAATAAATAATTTTTTAAAAAATAAAATATAATCCCATCCTATCAAGGGTTAACTTTAGCTAACATAGTAGTATTTCTCTTCTAGGATTAGATTAGAATGGCCTATTTTTGTTGTGATGCTGGGGAGAATTTCCTAAAGTGGACAATTCTGCCTGACCTTCATCAAGCATAATTTATAGTTACACATGAGTATAAAAATCATCTGACAGGAAACATGTGTAGATACTTACAATGACCTGCAGGATGGGTTGAATAGATGTATCTCCCTGCTGCAATATGGCCTGAAAGAAGAAAAACCCACATTGTGAGAGATGACTCAACTCACGATTAAAAATGGACTTATTTTCACAGTTGGGCATTTGGAATAATTAACTACAGGTAACACTGTTAAACGAGTCTGTTCAGAGCCTGTCATTTGAAAAGTCTAGTTTATCACTCTGGACAAATCACAAAAGTGAGAAATATGCTTCCAGACAAGGATGTACTCACTCTACCTACAGCACTGCTGCGGCACATGTACTCATTATTCATAACAGCACACTGGCTTCCCAATACTGCCCTTTAACAGGAAATCAGATTTAATAAAGTACTAAGGATAAATCCTTAGAACAGAATACAAGGGGGCTTCAAAAAGTTCCTGAACTCTTCTAGTCCCAGGTGCTCTGAGATTGGCGGTTTATGGTATAGACATGGCTATGTCCAAGAACCACATACAACTGGTCCCCAAAATGACACAAAAATGACAAGAAACCCTGATCAGAGATAAACCTCTTAACGGGGTAGACCCCAAGTTCCAGAGGCACACGCACTGTGCCACAAAGCACAAAAGGAAGAAGAAGCAACAGGCCAACACCGCCCGGCTGTGAACACATGTGCTGGGGCTGTAAAGGCCTCACCAAGCCCGAGTCCAAAGAGGTCAGGCTCAACTGACTTGTCCACAGGGCCCACCCTCAGCTCAGAAAGCATGCTCATGCCCTCACTGCCAAGAATCTCAGGCTGTCCCAGCCAAAAACAAGGCCAGGTTCAAACCAACCGCTAGGCTAAGGCCCAGGCCCAGGCTCAAGTTATGGCTATGACTCCAGCTCTAGTTCAGTGCAGGTTCAGGCTCCCACAGGTTCCACAGTAACAGCCTCTATCAGTGTGAGGACAGAAAGAGTGATGTGACCTCCTAGCTGGTATCCTGTGCTATTTGTACAAATAAAGAAAAGGCAGAGGAATAGTACAATGGTTAAGATGCCTCTTGGGACTCCCATATCCCCTAACAGAGTGCCTGGGTTCAAGTCTCAGCTCCTTTCCTGATTCCTGCTTTTTTCTAGCGTACACACTGGGAGGCAGCAATATCTCAAGTACTTGGGTCCCTATCACTCAAACAGGAGACCTAGACAGAGTTCTCAGCTCCTGGCACAGCCCTGGCTGTTGCAGCCACTTAAATGAACCAGTGGGTGGAAGATGCCTCTGCCCCCAACCGCACCCCATTAACTATCTTTCAAATAAATAAATAAATCTTTAAAAAAATAAAAAGGTGGGACTGGCACTGTGGCATAGAGGGTAAAGCCACTGCCTGCAGTGCCAGCATCCCATATGGGTGCCAGTTCGAGTCCCAGCTGCTCCACTTCCTATCCAGCTCTCTGCTATGGCCTAGGAAAGCAGTAGAAGACAGCCCAAGTCCTTGGGCACCTGCACCCGCATGGGAGACCCCAAGGAAGCTCCTGGCTCCTGGCTTCGGATCAGCGCAGCTCCGGCCACTGCAGTCAATTGGAAAGTGAACCAGAGGATGAAGACCTCTCTCTCTCTCTCTCCTCTCTGTGTAACTCTGACTTTCAAATAAATAAATAAATCTAAAAAAATAAAATAAAATAAAAAAAAAGGCTACAAGTCAAACTGGGTGACTGGCATTGTAGCAAAGCAAGTTAAGCTGTCACCTGCTATACCAGCATCCCATATGATCCCTGGTTAGAGTCCTGGCTACTCCACTTCCCATCCGGCTCCTAGCCAATGTGTCTGGGAAAGCACCAGAAGATGGCCTTGGGCCCCTATCAATGTAGAAGAAGTGAACAGAATTTCAGGCTCCCTGGCTTCAGCCCTGGCTGTTGTAGCCATTTGGGGAGTGAATCAGAGAATGGAAGATCTTTCCCTTTCTCTGATTCTCTGTCACTTGCCATCCAAATAAACAAACTGATCTTTTTTTTTTTTTTTTAAGTCAAACACTGGAAAAAGAAATATCATTAATAGCAGACAAAATAGACTTTAGGACAAGGAATATTACCAGGGATTCAAAAACATATTTAATAATAATACGGTTGATGTCTAAAGACTTATGAAATAAATGTGTGCACCTAACAAATTTTTCAAATATATATTAAGAAAAAACACGGTGCCGCGGCTCAATAGGCTAATCCTCCGCCTGCGGCACCGGCACACCAGGTTCTAGTCCCGAACGGGGTTCCGGATTCTGTCCGGTTGCCCCTCTTCCAGGCCAGCTCTCTGCTGTGGCCCGGGAGTGCAGTGGAGGATGGCCCAAGTGCTTGGGCCCTGCACCCCATGGGAGACCAGGAGAAGCACCTGGCTCCTGGCTTCAGATCAGCGCGGTGCGCCAGCCGCGGCGGCCATTGGAGGGTGAACCAACGGCAAAAGGAAGACCTTTCTCTCTGTCTCTCTCTCTCACTGTCCACTCTGCCTGTCAAAAAAAAAAAAAAAAAAAAAAAAAAAAACACCAGACAAAAGACAAAATTAAAAGGAAAGACAACTCCACAATTAAAATCAGCAGCTTCGATTCGGTTCTCCCACCGCCCCCGCCGCGGGTCCCAGCAGCTCCGGCGGCGGGAGGAGCGGCAGCGGCCAGGCAGCCCAGCTCCGTGAAGGCTCTCAGCGCGTCGCGGCCTGCAGGCACCCAGAACGCGCCCTCCGCGCTGCCAGGATGCCCAAGAGGAAGGTCTGCTCTGCCGAGGGGGCGGCCAAGGAGGAGCCCAAGAGGAGGTCGGCGAAGCCGGCCCCCGGGAAGGTGGAAGCGAAGCCCAAGAAGGCCGCCAGGAAGGATAAATCATCGGACAAGAAAGTGCAAGTAAAGGGGAAGAGAGGAGCAAAGGGAAAACAGGCCGAGGTGGCTAACCAAGAAGCTAAAGAAGACTTGCCTGCAGAAAACGGAGAAACGAAAAACGAGGAGAGTCCAGCAGAAGAGAAAGAAGCCAAGTCCGATTAACACCATGCACCACGTGTTTGTTTTCAGTGGTCCCTGTCTCCCTTCTGTACAATCCAGAGGAATATTTTTATCAACTATTTTGTAAATGCAAGTTTTTTAGTAGCTCTAGAAACATTTTTAAGAAGGAGGGAAGCCCACCTCATCCCATTTTTTAAGTGTAAATGATCTTTTTTAAGAGGTGAAATAATTTGCTGGTTGTTTATTTTTTGGTACAACCAGAAAATAGTGGCATATTGAATTCTGGGAGGCTTTGACTGTCTTGGGTGTCAGCTTAACATTCCATAGGTGGGGGTGGTTTTTATATCCTACAGTACAACGCATACTAAATGGCAATTTGGAGTCTCAATTGTGCATTTAATCTGTCTCGAATATTTTCAGTTTCTTCTCCCGTGTTTTGTAGAATTGTTTCCTACAGAAAACCACTCCTTGTTCTGTCAGAACCATGTGCACTCTGTAACATCTTCGGTTGTGGTAGTCTAGTTTTCCTAATGATTTCGTTAATGTGCTGTGAAAGATTGAAAATTTGAGTGTCGTGTATATGCTATTATATTGTGAATGGGTGGGATTTATGTAACAGCAACATTTGAAGATACTTGTACTTGATAGCCTCTTAAGGAAGAGTTGCCTCCAAATTTGAAGCTGGAAAGTCACTGGAATAACTTTTAAAAAAAGAATGACAATTCATGGCTTTTTAGATTTTTGGTACGTATGTTAAGAATTGTGTACAAATTAAAATGTGTGTGCTGATTCTCAACACCAAAAAAAAAAAAAAAAAAAAATCAGCAGTTTCAACAGTCTCTCAGTAAATGATAGGGCAAGTAGGTCACCCCACCCCCACTCCCACAAAAATAATCAGGAATACAGGAAACATGAACTATCAACCAAGTTGATCTGATAATTTAACAACCACAGAAAACACATTCTTATAAGTGCACTCGGATCACTGGCATCAAGACAGTTCATATAGGCAATAAAATAAGTCTCAATAAATGTGAAATCATACAGGGTACATTATCTGACCACACAGGAATTAAATTACAACTCAATAACAGTATGATACCTATAAAACCCTAAAATATTTAGAAATTAAACTCATACTTCTAAATAAGCCATCTGTTTAGAGAAGAAATCACAAAGAAAATCAGAAAGCATTTAACTGAATAAAAATGGAAATATGAGTACAATCTAAATTTGTGAACTAGAGCTAGAGCAATGCTTAGATGGAAAATTATAGCTTTAAAGGCTTACATCAGAGAAAAAACAAGTTCCCATGTCAATGATTAAAGCTTTCATCATAAGGAGCTAGAAAAAGAATTAAACCCAAGTGTGTAGAAGGAAGGAGACAAAGAATGAAAATCAGTTAAACAGAAAGCATACAAACACTAAGAAAAACCTAAATGAACTAGAAGCTGGCTTTTGAAAAGATCAATAAAATTGATAAACTTTTAGCCTGGTCTAATAAAGAAATTGTTCATTTTAAAGATTTATTTATTTATTTGAAAGTCAGAGTTACAGAGGGTGAGGCAGAGGCAGAGGACAGAGATCTTCTATCTACTAGTTCTCTCCTCAAATAGTTGCAATGGCCAAGGCTGGGCCAGGCCAAAGCTAGGAGCCAGGAGCTTCATCCATGTCTCCCACGTGGGCATAGGGGCTCAAGGACTTGGGCCATCTTCTGTTGTTTTCCCAGGCACACTGGCAGGGAGCTGGATTGTTAGTGGAGCAGCAGGGACTTGAATCAGCTCCCATATGGGATGCTGGGCGCTGCAGGCAGTAGCTTTACCAGCTACGCTACAGTTCTGGCTCAGAAAACATATTTTTAACATCAGGAATACAAAGGGAGGCATCACTAGAAATCACATATGCAAATATATACACAAATATATGTGTGTAAATGAAAGAAATGGGAGCAGGAGTTTGTCCTGGTGGTTACGATGCCTCTGGGGACTTCTACGCCCCGTGACAGACTGTCTAGGTTGGAGTCCCGGCTCTGGCTCCTTCTTCCACTTCCTGCTAATGCAGACCCTGAGAGGCATCTGCTGATGACGCAAGCAGCTGGGTCCCTGCCACCCACCTAGTTAGATCTAGACTGAATTCCTGGCACCCAGCTTGGGTCTGGCCCTGTCCCACCCACTGCAGGCCTTTCAGGAGTAAATGAGTGGACAGGGGAGTGCGCCTTCTCTCTCTGCTTCTCAAATAAACAAAAATGAATTGTAAAATAAAATATCCTAAGAGCGAAAACTCCAGGTCCTGATGGCTTCATGGGTGAATATCTAACCTTTAAAGGACCAAAAAATACAAACTTTGTATAAATTATTTAAATAAATAGTAGTCCTCCTTATACTTTGATGAAACAATGACATTCTTTTTTGGGTTTTTTTTGTTTGTTTTGCAGCCTGTCTTTTTTTAAAAAAAAGATTTACTTATTTATTTATTTGAAAGTCAGAGTTACACAGAGAGAGGAGAGACAGAGAGAGAGAGAGAGGTCTTCTACCCACTGGTTCACTCCCCAATTGGCCGTAATGGCCAGAGCTGCGCCGATCTGAAGCCAGGAGCCAGGAGCTTCTGGGTTTCCCACGTGGGTGCAGGGGCCCAAGGACCTGGGCCGTCTTCTATTTTCCCAAGCCATAGCAGAGAGCTGGATTGGAAGTGGAGCAGCCGGGTCTCGAACCGGTGCCCATATGGGATGCCAGCACTTCAGAACAGGGTGTTAACCTACTGTGCCAAAGTACCGGCCCCAAAACAATGACATTCTAAGAACCAAAACTTAAAGGCTTGGATCATTCATGAATCTAATGCAGAATTTCCTCAACAAACAGCAAATCAAACCCGGCGCTAGGGGCCAGCGCTGTGATGCAGTAGGCTAATCCTCCGCCAGTGGTGCAGGCATCCCTATATGGGTGCTGGCTCAAGTCCTGGCTGCTCCTGTTCTGATCCAGCTCTCTGTTATGGCCTGGGAAAGCAGTAGAAGATGGCCCAGGTCCTTAGACTCCTGTACCAGTGTGGGAGACCAGGAAGAAGCTCCTGGCTCCGGATGGGCCCAACTCTGGCTGCTGCGGCCATTTGGGGAGTAAACTAGCACAAGAAAGACCTCTCTCTCTGTCTCTCCTTCTCTCTGCCTGTAACTGTACCTCTCAAATAAAGAAATAAAATCTTAAAAAAAAAAAAAAAAGCACTATTTAAAATGAATATATCATGACCAGGTGGGATTTATCCCAGGAAGGCAAAGGTCACTCAACATCTGAAAATCAACATAATTTGTCACAATAACAGCATAAAGAAGAAAAACTATGATCATCATGATAGAGAAAAAGCACCTGATAAAATTTGAAAGTCTCATTCATCATAAAAAGTCTCGGCAAAGCAGGCATAGAAGAAAGGCTTAAATTGACAACCAGCATTTGCAAAGCAATCTACTGTGAATGATATCTTCCTAAGATCAGGAAAAATACAAGGATGTAACTCTCACTTTTATTCAATTGGTATTAGAGGTCCTAATTCAGTAAAGCAAGAGAAATAAATAAAAGGCATAAAGACTGGAAAGGAAGAAACAGACTCCTTTACTTCCAGATATGATCGTGCACACAGAAAATCCTAAGGAATCTGCAAAAACAAGTGAATCATCTTAGCTAAGTTGGCAGGACACAAGGCTGACATACAGAAATTATTTAATTATTTTTGATTTTAATTATTTTTGATTTTAATTATCGGAAAGGCAGAGAGACTCTGACAAAAAGAGACCTCATTCACTGGTTCGTTCACTCCCCAAATGCCTGCAACAACAGGGGTTGGGCCAACCCAAAGCCAAGAGCCAGAAACTCAATCTGGGTCTCCCATGTGGATGACAAGGGCTCAACTGCTTGATCCATCACCTGCTGTATCCCAGCAGGAAGCTGGAATGAGGAACCCGAGTCAGAACCCAAACTCAGGCACCCCAAAATGCGATGTGGGTGTTAACTGCTGAGCCTGTCCCCATTTGTATTTCTATGGAGTAGAAATAAATAACTAAAAATGCAATTTCCCAAAATGTCACTTAAGTACCATCAAAGGTAAAATACCTAGGAATAAATTAACAATATATAGGCAAGATTTACATACTAAAAGCTACAAAACACTTCTGAGATAGTAAAGAAAAACTAATGAATGAACACCATGTTCATCTTCTGAAAGATTCAATTATTTTCAAGATGTTAACTGACCCCAATCTATACATTCAATGTAATCCTAATTGAAATCTCATCAGGCTTTCTGTATTAGAAACAGGCTGAATTCCAAAATGTGTATGAAAATGCAGAACCTAAAATTGGTAAAACAATTTGACAGGCTGCAATTGTGGTGTAGCAGGCAAAGCTGTGGCTTGCAACACTAGCATCCCCTATGGGCACCAGCTGGAGTTTCACTGCGCCACTTCTGATTCAGCTCCCTGCAGATGCGCCTGAGAAAGCAGCTAAGGATGGTTCAAGTGCGTGGGCCCTGCACCCATGTGGGAGACCTGGAAGAGGCTTCTGGCTTCAGGCTAGCAGATGGAAGACATTGCTCTCTGTCTCTCCCTCCTCTCTCTCTCTAATTCTGTCTTTCAAATAAATCTTTAAAAAAAATTTTTTTTGAAAAAGACATGAATTTGTGGAATTTATGCTGCCAAATTTCCTTTTTACTTATTTTCATTTTATTTGAAGGGCATAGAGACAGATATTTTTTATTTATTTATTTGAAAGGGAGAGTTACAGAGAGAGGGCAAGGCAGACAGAAATCTTCCATCCATCGGTCTACTCCCCAAATAGCCACAACAGCCGAGGCTGGGTCAGGAACCTAGACTCCATTCTGGTCTCCCACATGGATGGCAGGGGCCTAAGTACCCGGGCCATCTTCCACTGCTTTCCCAGACACATTAGCATGCAGTTGGATCAGAAGTGGGGCAGTCAGAATGCGCTGTTGAACGGGTACTCACTCATATGAATGCCAGTACAGCAGGCAGTGGCTTTTACCCTGCTGTGCCACAACCC